TATATATATATATATATATATGAACTTTCAATAAATATAAGACGAATCTTTTCATTTTACAAACCTTGAATTCATTTGCAAGTTGTGGGTGTATACGATAAGAAAATCATTTCTGGTCGGACTATACACGTTATTTATGGAGTTCAATGATGCCTTTGGTATGGAAATTTGCCAGATCAATTCAAACCGCGTGACTGATCGACGCGAGACAATGTTTCTGTTCTTGAAGATGTTGAAAATTATAACGGAATTTGAAAATACTATTATTGATTTCATATTTCAGGCCCTAATCTTGGTTATATAGTTGCTCAAAGATCATTTGCCTCAAACTTGCCAACTTGAAGGCCTATATATATCACTGCTCAATCATCTTCACATATTTTTACCTACAAATGCAGGTGGATTATATGCAAATTGCAGAGAACAATGATGTACTTTACTCTTCATACCAACATGGGCAATTAACTTTACTCTTCCTAAATTTTTGTACAAAGTTCTAATAAATGTAACAAATAGCAACGTACTTACATTTATTTGTGTATTATAGCATTCTTCTCTTATTTCTTTATATTAAGTCATTACACAATGAAAATTCAATCAATCACAACATTATACATTCAACTTGTACTTACATTTATTTGTGTATTATAGCATTCTTCTCTTATTTCTTTATATTAAGTCATTACACAATGAAAATTCAATCAATCACAACATTATACATTCAACTTTCCCCGATCCCTCGTGCATGCTTAAGCTCTGGTTTAACTACATTCTTGGGTCGTGCTTAGCATGGCTTGAAAACATTTTCTAGTATACATATATATATATATATATATATATATATATATATATATATATATATATATATATATATAGCTTTTGTTGAGTTGTTACTTTTGTGACTTAGAAAAAACGATATAAAATATTTGTTACTTTTGTTGAGTTGTTACTTTATTGAGCACCTGCAGCAAGATATATGATAAAGGGAACAAACTGCGTGGTGAAAGACAAAGTATCTATCGGTGATATTGGCGGCAGACGGGAGCGTTAATGTATTGGTGTAGATCCAGATTGTTAATGGATGAAGTTCAGAAAAAGAGGAAGATGATACTTCAACATAAGCAATTAATACAGGTCACCTTTCAAGCTGTTGCTCTGATCACCAGTATGATTAGCGTGGCTCTGCTACAGCAACCGACACTTTTTAATCTATAATGTTGGAGAAGGTGATTATAGCTAAGTTGAAGGAATAATGGAGAGGGTGATGATAGTTGAAGGAATAATGGAGGTGGGTTATATTAACTTAATTAATACAGGTTGCTGATCGAATCGTACATCACATATGAACGCTTTGATCAAGCTAAGCATAAATTTATAAAAGACTTTTTGGGCTTAGGTTTAATTTCAGTTCAATATCGGTTTATACTTGAAATTAGATTTTGGTTTAAATTTCAATTTTATTTGAGTCTGATGTTGAGTTTTCTTATAGAAAAAAATATTATTGATTAGTATAAAATAAAATAATGACAAGTCAGAGTCACAAAACAATAATTTTATCAATATAATAAGATAATATCTCAACATTCCACTTGACAACTTTATAAACCACCTGTGTTTCAAATTATAGATTGATATAAAGTATAAAACGTAAAAGGCGAAAGAAGAGTTTTTAGATCTAAAGAATACAAATAAAATAAAAAATACACTATATATTTATAGTTAAAAATATATATATATTCCCATATATTTAGGATCCGACGCTGTAATTTTTACAAGTTCTGGCTCTGTCATCTTCCTCCTACAAAATTTACATCACACCCTTTCGCCACCACTACTTCATGATCTTTTTCCAATGATCGAAGTATGTGTTTGTGGTGTGGGAGAGAGAAAAAGTCTAATCAGACCAATTTGCATGTTTTTTATTTTCACCAACTGAAACTACCACGTACGGCTACCTCACTCAGATAAACCTAATAACTCTTCAAGGTATTCCCTACCCAAGTCCTCCAAAACGACGACGTTTTCAACCTTTTCCTTCTTCTTCTTCATCGTCGATTTCCTCTTCATGGTGTGTGTTTTCTTTAGTGCCAATACCGGCGAACTATCTTCCTCGTATTTGTACCCCATCTTTCTTAAAGATTCATAAACCAATTCTTCCGAGAAATTAAGGACCGCCGCAGAACCACGGAGGGCGAACGCCGCTTGGTCGTACGCCAGAGCCGCCTCCTCCGCCGTGTCAAATGTCCCCAGCCATACCCTAACCCCGTTTCGTGTGGAGTCACGTATCTCAGCCGCGTACTTCCCCCATGGTCGCCTCCTCACGCCTCTGTAGCTACACTCCTTCTCCGGACCGAGACACTCTTCCACTTGAATGTGGCTTTTTGGATCATGTGGAGGTTCAGCGTCGGCAAGAACTCCGAAGAGAAGCATCTCTTGGGAGTCATTTTCGTTGAAGGGAAGATCAAGATAGTGGTGATACTGATCATGTGTGGTGGAATAATTACATTGGGAACTGGAGGAAGAGTACTCAGGCGAGCTGGATGAGATTTCCGAGGAGAAGTCCGGCGAAGAATGGTTGTAAAAGAAAGAACTCATGTTGGATATACGACAATAAAAGAGAGAGATTATTGTTTTATTAGTATTTTTGGAAATTGCTTTATTTGATAATTGTGTGGGTGTACACTATATATAGAAATGACCGTACATGAACGGGTCGGGTCTTGACATCATGGGTGCATGAATGGATTAATGCATTTTGTTTGGACATGGCGGCTGGTCAGCAGACTTTTTGCTGACCTCACCTTGCGCAGGGTTTTTGTTGGAACGTTAAAACAAAAATAATATGATTGGAACAAGTTTGACCAAGTCAATCAACCAAACAAATTCATAACGCATCTCAAAAACTCTGAAAGCATAAAAAATTTATTAATAAAATTAAAGGATTTATATATGATATAAATACTGAACCATTCACGATTACATGATACATCGACAATTAACTAAAACAAAATTCGAAAACTAGACAACTTATCAAATCCTAAACTACTACTAAAATGAGCCCCAAATGGAGACAAACTTTATTAATTACAGCAAGTTCAATTGGATACAGGCCACCGCCATTTTTGACACAACCAAGAAGATGAAACCACGAAACCAGTACAACCTGCCAATGTTGGAACTAACTCCTACATCTTATCTGACTAAAACCTGTTAAAAAGTAAGAACATATATAGATATATTGAATGATATCGGAAAAACTTTCCAAGAAGTCTATTGCATCGATCTTGTTGCAATTCACGCTATATAGATATA